TGCACTTTCATCTGTAGATGGTGGCCACAGGAATCTGTCGCTCTGATGACCATGTGGTTAGTGGACACATAGTGTCCCCTTTTCCTGTGATCCTGGGCCATGAGGCAGCTGGCATTGTGGAAAGCATTGGAGAAGGGGTGACTTCAGTAAAACCAGGTACATGATTCACACTCACTGAATGTGATTTGGTTCATTATGCCAAGATCATCCAGGCCAGATCAGGAACTGCAGAGACCTAAACGCTCTCATGAGGCCTGGATGAACAGGACCAAGAGGTGATCCTTTCCCTATATCTCGGTCTGACTCAGGCATGCTACAAAAATGACAATGTATTTTATCCTTCAACATCTACTTATCGAGTTCATACTTGATGCCAGGCCTCAGATTCGAGCTGGGTGTACATGAGCTTCACAAGCACACAGTGCCAGCCAAAGAGGAGTCACGTTCTAATGACCTCCTTCATAGTGGGGCAGAGCACTGCGTCTGTCAAGAGCCAAACAAAAGTACAAACGGGACAAGAAAAAACATAGGTTGTGGCCCAGTCCCTACATCAGTATACACAATTGTTCTGTGCTGACTTCACAAAATAGTGCTTCAAGGCTGTGACTGAGTCAGTAGGACCTCTTGTCAGGTGGGGAGTGAAGCCCTCCCACCAACTTCCTCTTCCAATATGGCCACAATCTTGATCACAAAACCATAGCCACAGAGCAGAGGGAAGGAACTGAAAGAAAGAGAGCAGCAAGTACGCAGCCACAAATGTCAGTTTTAAAATGATGGCTACAGTTTTAAATGTGAGTGGTTACAAGTTAATAATTATTTCAGTGTAATTTCCAATCCTAATTTAATTAAGCAACATCATGTTTTCACAATGAGAGTGAATTCACAAAAATTTCCATGCCATCACCTTTACATAACATTTGTTCATAAAATGTAACAGCACAATAATTCTCTTTGGTTTCCTTGAAAAAGCCACATTTAAAATAAATAAATAAATAAATAAATAAATAAATAAAATCGGCATAGTACTGGCAAAAAAGAAAAGAAAAAGCCACATGATCAAAAACACAAACCACGCTTGGGAGATAGCTCATCAGAGTAAATGCTCACCTGGCAAGTGCAACAGCCCGAGTTCAATTGCTGGTTCCGTAAAAAAGAAAAAAAAAAAAAAGTTTAATTCCAAAACATCACATCACTTGAGCCAAGTACTATGTTAAACTCTGAACAGAAAATAAAACAAGTAGTATAGTTTTTGTTGGAGGGCATGTTATTGCCTTCAGTTAGAAAAACTAACAACACATGACAATTTTTTCTTTTTCCTGCCTTATCTACAGCAGTAATAATAGATTTTTCATGAATTACTAGCCAAAAGTATTTCAATTTCAGTTACTACCATAAAAGAAAGTATTTAATTTATTGCTACAATTTCCAATGGAATATCTTGAATTCTTTGTGCCATTTTTGTTAGTTTCATTCCAAAGAACAATGATTTTTAAAAGCTTTCACTTCATAAGAAAGATAAGCATAGCCTGTTGAAAACTGAAAGGTAGATGATCAAACATATTTTTAATGTAACCAATGACTACATCTTTAAAATTGTATTGGAGTAATTACATTTATCTTGATTTAATTTTATTTTTAAAAACTGTACAAAACATACCATATTCCAAACATCTCAATGAATTTAAAATATATATCTACTTACATATTACATTACAAAAAATAAGGTAAATTATAAAAAATAAGGTAATACATATCAGTCTATAATATATTTAGATTTAGATTTAAGATTTCATTAAGATTTTAATGTTATGATGCATCAAGTTTCCAAGTAAAATCTGTGTACACTATAATGTTAGCTACTAATATAATGGAAATAAATTTTAATCCTTCTTATCTACATCCTCATGTCCTCTTTAGATTTCTTCAGACACATAATCTAAATGGATAATAATGCTGAAAACAATAATCAGTGATATTCTTGTGACCAGATTCTATGCCTTGGAGAATTTTTCAAAAATATATTTTTCTGGGCTATGGAGATGGCACAGTAGAATAAATGCTTCCCTGGCAAGCACAAGGGCCTGAGTTCAATCCTCAGTTCCGCAAAAAAATGGGAGGCTATAAACAGGCAGATCACTATGAGTTCGATATAGTATTGAAGTATTGAGACCCTGAACACCCTGTAGCCCTTCCCAATAATACAAAAAAAAAAAAAGATATATCTTTCTATGTATAAGCTTTAAGTTCTTCATGTATGAATTCCTGGGTAGAAACTGAAACATAATTCATGGTATTTCCCCACCAGGTGATAAAGTCATCCCGCTGTTTATTCCCCAGTGTGGAAAATGCAGAAGTTGTAAACACCCAGAAAGCAACCTCTGTGTGAAAAATGAGTAGGTGTCTTTCTTTTTCTTGCTCTGCTAATGAATTGCACATCAGTTGTTCTTTGTCTCATGTCCTTTGTGTACCTGTATGTCTCACTGAACAGTTTGTCAGGGAATCCGGGCAAACTGCAGGATGGCACCACCAGGTTCACCTGCAGAGGAAAGTCCATCTACCACTTCGTGGGTACCAGCACCTTCTCCCAGTACACAGTGGTGGATGAGATCTCCGTGGCCAAAATTGATGCAGCCTCACCTCTGGAGAAAGTTTGTCTCATCGGCTGTGGATTTTCTACCGGCTATGGCTCTGCAGTCAAAGTTGCCAAGGTAGGCATCACAGTGGCCAGTGACACTAGGTATACTCAGCCTCACAACACCCACAGGGAAGCAGTTCCTCACAGGGTTCACAGGTTATTTTCATGGATTAGTGGTGTTGACAATTTATAGGAAAGTAGACCTAGCAGGAAAGTGAGAATCTGTCCTGTGAAATTCACCTGTTTATCACAAATGGAAATGTTCATAATTAGGTGAGGAAAAGTCAATTTCCTTTTCAATAATCTATTCAACATTTGTTTTCATGAGAATACTGAGTTTTAGATCTGAGGATTAATTCAGTCATTCATTGTACAGTTACAGGGAAAAGATACACACATTAGGATGACAGGTTCTGCTAGGTTTGAGGAAGCCAATGTAAATAAATATAGGTTTTTTTCTATTATAATTTAAAAACTAGGAAACAACCTGGGATACCTCCCTTAGCACCAAGTCAACCGTGACTCCCTACCCATGATACCACTGGGAAGGATTAAAAATAAACTTGCCTGACAAAAATTAGAGAAAAAGAAGGGCTGTAAGGACAACCAACATTTTGGCCGTAGCCTTTCAACTTCAGTGAAGACTCAGGACATAGGAGATCCTATACTGTAACATCATGTAACTCAGTGATAGACCAAATTTTCTGATCAAAGAGATTATGGGGCCACAGAGGAAAGTGCTCTATGATGTAGGGTATGCCTAAGGAGAAAGTCACATGGAGAGAAAACATTCTCTCAAGCTTTCACAGAGAGCAAATTGGTCAAGCAATGGCCATGACTCCCCCACATGGCTAACACTGAAAAAGGATCTACAAACTGTGGTACAGAATTTCAGGAGAAATCCTGAGGAGATCTCAATGTCCTTATCAGATACAAAAGTTACATTTCTTGTTATATAGGTCTTGCTTTATCTTGATCTTAATCATGCAGCACAAAAGTATAAAAACAAAGTATAAAAAATAAATCCTTGTTAATATGCTGAGCTGTAAAAACCTCAAGTCAACAACTTCTGACATTGCCAGTCTTATGGAAAACCCACTGCTATTATGCACTACTGGACTATATTGAAATATTTTGCTGAATTAATGCACCCACAATATTTAAATCACATTGGAATGCCCTTCTCTGACAAAACTATCCAAAAAAGGGGGATACAATTGAACAACATTTTGTATCTGTATACTCAAAATAGTTAGGATAGATATACAGCTGCATTCTCTTAATTCAATGAACAGAGAGATTTGTTGTAATAGTGTTTGTGGACAGGATATCATGTCTGCCTCTTAGACAATGAATAACCACTAAGACAACAATATGCAATGTATTAATTATTGAAACTGTGCTAGTAATTGGTTTTGAAAAAAAAAGAAAAGAAAATAAAGCTGCCTCCCATCCCCAACAGCCAGGAATCAGCAGCTCTAGACTGCAGAAAACAAAAGAACAGTGAGTGTAAAGGTTGTCTCTAAGGACAAAACATGTGTGTATATTCTGAGTTCAGGACTTCAGTTAACAGCATATGTCAAAACTTACTTGAAACAGCCCCAGATCAAGGGTCTCCCACTGTGTAAAAGTAATGAGGTATCACATTGCTGTCATGCCTAATGGGATTTCCTATCTCTCTTCCCACAACATACGTATTGGAGAAGTGGTATGCATCTGTAGAAATTCATTACAGACACCCCTTCCCCAAATGTCATAGCATCATTTGCTGTATAAAACTGAGATCCATACACACAAAGTTATTTACTCAAATCTTTACATCTGGTAAGTATTTGATCTAAAACTAAATTCTCCTGAGATTTTGATATGAAATCATGATAGAAGATTATTAGCACTTTTAAATCACACTATGAACTCTCTATTGTAAAGTTAAAAATAGTGTACCTGATATTATTTAACAACACTTGGTGAAAGAATGAGTGAGTAGACACCGTGAAGAGACTATCACAATGAGTTTACTTGGGACAGGAATATTCTAGCTACTGAAGGCTGTCTACAGAAGATAGGGCTTATTCAACAGCCACAGCCAATGTAAGCCATGAGGGCCTGTATAGCATATGCCATTTCAGGTAATGTCGCTGAGATCTCAGCCCTAAGCCACATTAGTCTTTGTTCAGTAGCTTCACGGGTTGTAGCAGGTGGCCTAAATGAGATGATCTACAAACAGAATCAGAGGATACTTAGGGAAAGGGTTTCAATATTATTAAAATACAAACCAGTATTTTTGCATTATTACTCATTATTTTTAAATATCAAGGATAAAGATCTACAAGTATCACCTTGGCCTCAAGTGTTATTTTCTTGAAGTTATTTATTGAAAGTCACCTATTAGGGCTTTGTTATAACAAGGATTCATTTTATGTGCTACAGAGATAATTTCTGTTCTCATTTCATTGCTTGTGTTTACTGAAAGTTACTGAACTCTGCAAGGAGTTAAATATTGATAGTGTGAGTAGATTATTGCTCATCTTCCTGAGGTAATCTCAATCATGTGTAACATCCCCATAAAAGTTTCTGTGTTTGCACTCAAAACAGAACTTGGCTATTAATGGATATGAGGTCTTTTCATGATGAGTCACTGGTGTTTAGAGCTCAAAGTTTGTCTAGCCCGTTTGTTCTTAGGTTCTCACTGGTGTGCACTGGAAACAGGATGACACCTACAGAGAGTCTGATTTAATTGGCATGGGCTGTGGCAACGATGTTGTGATTTTTGAAAATTCCCAGATTTAGATTTAGTTTGTGTATGAAGTTTGAAAACCACTGGATTAGTTCAATTTAAACCTGAAGTAATTGTAGCCAAAAGAAGTTGGCAGCAGGCTGACATGGAGTCGGGGTAACTCCTGAGAAATGACAAGGCCTGGTACTTTATATGACTTAGACACATTCTAACAATCACTAGCAATCCACTTTTGCATTTTCTGCAAAAACAGGTCACCCAGGGCTCCACCTGTGCTGTGTTTGGCCTGGGTGGAGTCGGCCTCTCTGTTATCATTGGCTGCAAAGCAGCAGGAGCAGCCAGGATCATAGCAGTGGACATCAACAAAGACAAATTTGCAAAGGCCAGAGAGGTGGGTGCCACTGAGTGTGTCAACCCTCAAGACTATGACAAACCTATTGAGGAGGTACTCCAAGAAATGAGCAACGGAGGTGTGGATTTCTCCTTTGAAGTCATTGGTCGGCTTGACACCATGGTATGTGCCAAAAGTTGCTTGCTATCTCATCTTCTGCAATCTGGAATATACTGCTAGGTAGTACAGGGTAAATATGTATAAAATATCTTGGAAATGCAATCTCCTGTTTATTACATGTTAAATAGAGAGTTAGAAGAAATTCTTCATTCCCCAGGGTAGGAGATATTACAATATATTTCTTCTTTACTGAGGGAAAGTACTTATATATTAATTGAGTCCTTTCCAACTAAGGTCCTTAATTTGCAGTGAACATAGTTCCGCAAGGAAATACAAACAATAAAAATTCTGTACTTAAGATAGCAAACTTGTTTTTCCAATTCAAATACAGCTTAAATTTTTTATATTTCAATAAATTCAGAAAGCTATCCAAAAGAAATATTGCACCAATTCCACTATTAAGAGAAAATATACCTTAAGGAAAGAACTTGCTTTAATGAGTCATTGTATTTTAGCACAGTCACACCACCACACCTAGCAGAGCATTCAGAAAATGCTTTGAAAAGAACAATGAAATACTGCTCCCAAATATAATGCTTACCTCATAGCACTGTCAGAGCTTACATGAGTGAATGTGTATGAAATACTTCTCAAGATGCCATCTGTCAAGTGTTAAACTCTGAATTAAATTCAGCTGCTGCCATTAATATGAAATACTATGTCCAAGCTCACAGTGCTTCGATCAAACTTGAAATTTAAGACATCTTAATTTCAAACTATTTCATTGACAGAACACCTCCCCATCCATATTCATCCAGCCCAAGCTCTCTACAACTCTGCTGAATTAGTCCCCAGAGACCAACACATGCCTATACTTGGTTTGGTTCTGCTCTGAATCCTGCCTGTGTTGCTAATGCAGAACTACACCTCTGGGGAAAAGCTTTTGCTGTTTTGGCCTGGGAAAATACAATGCATTTCATCATTGTCTCAGTTATTCTCTCTCATTGCTGGGTTGCAGTACTCAACACCCAAAATTAAGGAGGAAAAGTTTATTTAACTCACAGGATGTGGAGATTTCAGTTCATACTCGCTGGCTCCCATGTCGTGTCACTTGGCAGAGGGCAACAGTTCATGGAGGAAAAAAATGATAAAGAGCACATGGAGGAACAGTGGCTGCTGCAGCTAGGAAGGCCCTCTCCCTTTGTTACATTGTATTCAGTCTATTCACACCCATAATCCCACCATGGAATTAATTAGCTGATCACAAACTCTAGAAGCCTGCCCCAATGACTGCATGAGGATTTAGGGGAACAACTAGATGCAAATCATAACAATAGCTATTTCAAGAAAAATCTAACTTTTTCCAAAGCTTTAGCTTTCTCTGGCATGCTCTTTTTTGTCATTTTCTCAATGGTCCTTTGTTTGAAGCCACAGAAGACTGACATGTTCTTGGATTATCAACTCTTCAGATTTCATATTTCAAAATCAAAGCCTAAGTCAATTTTAAACCAAATGAAGATTGTAAAGCATTCTTTTGCTACAAAGCAATGCCTTAGGAGAAAGACTTTGAGGGCTGGTTTTTGAGATTCTAGCATAATTAATGTATTTTATTTTTTTTTAACTTAGTACCAGGTCTACAGGATCTCACTACATAGATCTGACTCGTAGTTATTCTCCTGTTTTCAGCCTCCCAAGTGCTACAATTATAGGCACTCACCACCAGGCTCAATCCCTCACACTGCGCACTCCAGGGGTGGGACCAGGACGGCATACTGGGGATGGAATTCCAGCTGCTGCACTCTGCCTAAGCAGAGGTTTTAGTGTGCTGAGCTATTTGGCTGGCCCTATAATGAGTGTTTTTCAAAATAAAACCAGGATATATTCCAACAGGGTAAAATATAATTTAAAATATGTTCCTTTCTATAATAGACAATGGAGGACACTTGTAAAGAAAAATTATTAAATTGACGAGAGACAAATTATGAATGATAAGAGCTATGTCTTTTTCACCATCAAAACACATGCTTAAGAGACATGAAAAATGAAGTAACTGACTCTCATATTATCTTGAACTGTGATAAAACAACCAGCAACCTCCCTGACAACCTAGACTTTATATATTTGTCATAATATTTGGCTCATTATATATTTATAAGGAAGACATTCTTTAATCCATTCTTTCAAATGAAAATGTGTTCCAAGAATTTTTCAAAGCAACAAGTGCTAGACTCAAGGTTGAATGAAAAAGCAAAAGATACATTTTCTTTGCTCTGCACAGTTACAACTCAACTAATTAAAATTGGCATTAAATTGTGTACCATGAGCAGTGTGACCAAAATCCACTTTGAGGGTGCTAAGAATTTATTCATATTTATTCCAGGCCTCTGCCTTGCTCTGCTGTGATAAGTCATTTGGTGTGAGCGTCATTGTAGGAGTCCCTCCTGGTTCTCAGACCCTCCCCGTGAATCCCATGCTGCTATTGACTGGACGCACCTGGAAAGGAGGCCTTTTTGGTGGTAGGTAGTAAAGTGTGAAGACCAAATCTGTGTTAACCTTAGAAAATCTTCCCTTATGTCAGTGAGAATGTAGTGTATTTAAAGCACTGTGGATAAAAAGCAATTAAAGTTCCTGCTGTATTTATAGCATCCAAAACAATTAGATATGGAATAATACTAGAGAGAAAGTCACAGGATGGTCTTCTCTGGTGTCCCGGACTTCTTGGCCATAAATTATGGAATAAGTGCAGAAAGAAAGTAAGCAGGAACTTTCAGCAGCTTTTCTTTTTATACTCGTGAATGCATGAGCACTAAATCTCCTAGTAGGACATACACAAGAGATGTACAGCAATCATCAGCGTCTACCCTCTGCTACTTTGAGACCACTGTAAGTTTGCTTCAGGACTTTGGGCAGCCACATAATTTCTCTATAGAAGAGCTCATAAGGATTCTATAGCTGTCTGTGGGCCCTAGTTTATTTGGGGCATTAAAGCACACTGAGAAATGGTGGGGAATCCCTCCCCCTCACACTCTCCTCACCAGTAGCAGTCTGCACAATGGAGCATTGCTCTTAATGGAGCACTTTCAGTTTACTCTTATCAGAAAGTCTTGTCTCCAGCTCTCTTGATTGTCCCTGTTGAATCTAACAGTGCTGTCTTTCTTTCAGGCTTTAAGAGCAAAGATTCTGTCCCCAAACTTGTGACAGATTTTATGGCAAAGAAATTTCCACTGGATCCAATAATAACCAATGTTTTACCTTTTGAAAAGATAAATGAAGGCTTTGACCTGCTTCGCTCTGGAAAGAGGTAAATTTTCTCTTTCTGTTTATAGTAAGGGTTTGACTGACAGAGAAATGAAAGAGGAGAGATGAATGAAAACAGAAGCGCTGTGGTTTTCCATCATTAGTTCAGTCTTTGCACAAAGAACATGTGATACCCCATGTGGGACTTTAATTACAGTTGCTTAGTGCCTCCTATCTTGCTGAAGCTAAATTACGACGCAGTAGTACAAATCTGAGTAGTGAGAGCCTGCCAGCTTCTGCATGAGGGCACACTCACTTTTTCCAGAGAAGTCATCAGTCACCAAATCATATTTAGAAGTTGGATTCAGTGAAGTCTCCATGTGACCTCTAAAAGCCAGTAACAAACAGGTGCGATCATTATACAGTAAGTCTCCAACTTACAGACATTTAAGTTGGGAACTTTCACAGATACCACATTCCTAGATGCAAACAACTCGCAGATGTAGCTCAGGGGTTGACGTGTATTGTCACAGTTGCACTGCTGTGTGCTTACTCTACAGAATGGTAGTGTGCAATAGTACAGTGCAGTCAAGACACTGCATTTGGGTGTGGATAATGCAATGTACACTCATAACAAAGGTATATAAGACTTATTCTTTCAGACTTATGAATGAATGCAACTCACAACCATTCTCCACCTGGAGAGAAGACATTCTCTCAGGCTTTCACAGAAGGCAAATTGGTCAAGCAATGATCATGACACATCCACATTGCTGACAGTGACAAAAGATCTATGAACTGTGCTTCAGAGTTTCAGGATAAATCCTGAGGGGATTTGACTGACCTTGTCAGATACAAAAGTTATATTTCTTGTTATATAGGTCTTGCTTTATTTTATTCTTAACCATCCAGTAGAAAAGTATAAAAATGAAGTATAAAAAGTAAAGCCATATTAACATGCTGAGCTGTAAAAGGCTCTAGTCAACAACTTCTGACATTGCCATTCTTATGCAAAACCCACTACTATTATGGATTACTAGACTATCATGGATTATTTTGCTGAATTCATGCACCAATACTATTTAAATGGCAATGGAATACCCATCTCTGACAAAACTAAACAAAAGGGATATAAATGAAGGACCATTTTGTAGTGAAATATATATGTAAATATATATATACTTATATCTGTATATACAAAATAGGATAGATACACAGCTACTTTCTCTTAATTCAACAAGAAGAAAGATTTGTACTAACAGTGTTTGGACAGGGTATCATGTCTGCATCTTGTACTATGAATAACTACAATGAAGACAACAATATGCAATGTATTAATTATTGAAACTGTCCTACTGTTTTGAAACTGTCTCATTGCTATTTCTTTCTCAATAAAATTAGTTTCAAAAAATTTTTAAAAAACCATTCTCATGAATAAAATAATCATGAGAAATGATACAGAATTTCACAAACAAGATGATAAAATTCAACAATGGTTTTGTACTGAATAGTGTTGTCAAGTTAGTTGTAAAAACTTTTATGTCAAAGTAATTATGTAAACATTTATGTGTGTTTGTACATGTTTTAGTATTAAAACATCAAGATTAGAAATATCCTACAAGTTCAACATTAACGAAATTATTCAATTCCAGCCATGTATTAAAAATTGGTGAAAGCATTTAAAAATAATTTTGTTACATAAGGAAATATTCATCATTATTTTTAACTCATAGTATGTATCTTCCTAAAGATGAAGGTTCTTAGAATTATATAATCAACTTCATGTTCTAATTCTATAACTCCTTAAACATCTCTATATCAAAGCTCTATTAAGCCTTTACCATGATAACAACTTTATACAAAATACTGGACATTTCAATAAGGATAGAATAGAATATATACATGTCTAGGATAACATGGATCAAATTTTAAGAAAATATGAATTATGCTGTGGTGGTTACCTCCAAATTGTAGTAGTTTCATTTTGAATGAAATGAAAACATTCTTTCATTTTTACACCGTCCTGTATTTTTAATTATTTGTATATACCATATATGTCTAAGAACATACATGTAATACACATATCATATATCTAATTCCAAAAGTATTTACCCATCCAGATGGGCCTTATAAAAAGGACATTATTTCCTGTATAATTGTCAATTTCCAATGTTTCCAAGGATGAAGTTTCTTAGAAATATACAAATCAAATTTATTTTCTACTTCTATAACTCCTTAAACATCTCCATATCAAAGCTTTATTAAGCCTTTAACATGATCACAACTTTATTAAGCTGTCAGTTCCTTCAGGCAAATGATCATTGTCTCATAATTTGCATAACTTTGTGTTTTGATCCCAGCATACTAGTTGTGTGATAAAGACAAGTTCCAAATCTCTCTTTCACTTTTTATAATCTCTGTCATGGAAAAAACATGCAGTTCTACCTCACCGCACTGTTGTTTACTTTGAGTCCTCAATGAGATAATATCTGAAAAGCACCTACAAGGAATATGATAAACAGCAACAAAATTTTACATGTTATTAACCACTGTTTTATACTCCTTCTTATGCTGGGCATGGAAGGTCTAAAACTGATTTTCAAAGGATAGAAATGTAGAAATGATGTCTAAGTTGTAGTCAGATATGGATGTTTTTCATGAGTCTAAGATTGGAAAAAACATAAAAGAGAAGCAGTAAAGTAAGAATTGCCCTCATACTGACTCAGCTTTAATTTATCCCACAGGGTAGGAATGGAGGGAATGGGAACAATGATGACGTTCACTGAGATGCAGGAAGTGTTCCCTGCACTTGTATGGAAAAGTGTGAATAGTCTCAATGCTAAAACAATGTCCTCCATTTTCTATTTTAGTATCCGCACCATTCTGTCATTTTGAGAAGACACCTTCTCTCCTATCAGCCCCTGACTCCTCCACACCAGATCATCTGAATCACCGGGCAGACAACATTATCAGCTATTTTTCAGCAATGTGATCAATGCATTTCTATTGCACTTGTTATTGGTGTTTGCTTTATGGATACCATGATTCTAACAAGTTTCTTTAAGGAATAATAGAGTATTTTAAACTTATAACACTTAGATCACTCACAAAACCAAAACTATACCTTAATTTTGTTATATGTATTTTGATTTTGGTGACACAATTTATGTCTCTTTATATTTTATAACCTTTAGCAAATTATTGACTGATGTTTTCAACACCCCTGTCTTTATGCTTCATAATACTATTTGCACAAACAATAATTATTATAACAAATAATTATCAATAAAGCACACTTTGTAGACTATTTTAACCTCAATATGCACTTAATTTACCAGTGACTTCCATGTATTCAGATGTTGTGGTGTTACTCATTAATATACTTGCCTTCGATTCTTTTTTTTTTTTTTTTACTTTTTAGAACACATCTACATTTTATTACTTATTTTTTCTAAGAATTATAGGCTAGCATTTGTTTGTATGAAATTTTTTTCTTATATAAGAATGCCTGGATAAATTAATTAATCTCTTCTCACTTTTACCCAACATTAGTCCTATATACTTATAATTTAGATTTTGAAAT